CCCCCGCCCACTCTCTGGGGAGAAGTGGGTGTGGCTGCGGCAAGAGCCTGGACCCATGGTAGCCCCGTCCCTGCAAGCATCGCAGGGCCCTACACTCGCATTAAACCACCTCAGGGTCCTGTGGCAGCCCAAGCTCAAGAGCCAAAGCCGCAGTCTGAGTCGCAGTAGCCGTGCTGCTATTTTAGTGCAATAACTCGAGGCCCTGAGTACAAGTCTGTCTTCCCAGGCTCCCTCCCAGCTAGACATACCCAGAGAGGCCACCTACCTACTACCCAAGGCGAGAGAGAGACCTAAGGGCTTGTCCACACATAGAGTTACTCAAGTGCTCTGACTCCCAACCCCAGCTCAGCTCCTCCTCTAAGCCCCGAACAGGTTTCCTAGTCTGAGCACTGTGATGATGCTAGTACAATGTGGAGAGCCCCACTGCCCTCCTGCCCCCTGGGCTCCAGCCCCCCAAGAGTTCAGTGCTGCTAAGCTAGAAGACAATCTCAGAGCTGGAGCCTGCCTGCAGAAATGGGTAGTGCACCTGGGGAAGATCTTATATAGGACAGGTGTGACCCAAGCTGCCATCAGAGAAGAGTGGGATTGGCTGTGAGAGTAAATGGGCAGCCTCGTGGAGCATTTCTCATGAGGTTCAGCTGGACCCATTCAGGGTCTCTCTAATAAGGAAAACTGCCAGTATCAACAGAAGGACTAACTTTGAGGTGCCCAGAAAATCACTGGCACAAGAATAGGTTCCACAAAGCCGAGGGTTGCCAACTTTTTAATCACACAAAACTGAACACCCCTACCCCTCCCCTTCTCTGAGGCCCCGCCCCGCTCACTCCATCCCCCCTCCCTCCGTCACTCGCTCTCCCCCACCCTCACTTGCTCATTTTCACCGGGCTGGGGAGGGTCCCTTTTCAACCGGGTTAGGCACCTCGGCAAGTCCCTGAACAATGCACAGGGACAGCTAGATACCTGGGAACCACCTAAACTAGCCAATGGGAGATGCCAATGAGAGAGGTGTGTCCTACGCCCCGTCTCTGTCACAGAGCTCAGCACCATAGGTCTGGGCTACAGGGAGGCACCTACCTCTGCTAGTGATCTCCAGCTACAACTCCCTCTCTCAGAGGCTGGTGGCTTTAGCAGCTAAGCTATGCTTGTAAGAAACACACAAGGCTATGGTTCAATTCCCCTTACCCCCACCCAGGAGGTGTGAGACCTAAGTTCAATTCCCCCCTTGGCCTGATGGAGGAAAAAGGATTTAAGGGGGGGGGTGTCCCACTTTTTACAAACATGCTCGAATCATAGAGCTGTTTATACTCCGATATGGTGCTACCTCAATTTCTCCTGTTCAAGCTGTTCCCCACTGAATCAATAACTAAAGTGTCATTGGAGCAGGGCCCTGGCCTCAGTTTCCCACCAGGCTATAGTCTCATTCTCATGCTTGCTCTGGACTGAGGCACTTAGGGGTTCTGGTGCCTACATTCCTTTGTGGATCTGGGCCTTCTCTCCTGAAGCATGAGGATGCATAGCTCCCTTCCAAAACCCTTTTCAACATTAACTGTTGCAACCCTGGATATTCTTGTTACCCATAGAATCATCCAATCCCTCTTTGGAGCTTGCTAAATTCTTGGCCTCACTGAGATCATGTGTCAGTGAGTTCCACAGTCTCATTTTGCAGTGTGCACATGTGAAATTTAATTTAACAACCCTATATTCCTATGTTAGGAGACAGGGGAAACAGAATCTCCCACTCTCCCTTCTCTAGACTATTCATTGTTTTATGTACTTTTATCGTGTCCCTTTTTATTAATCTCTTTTTATTCTAAGAGAAACAATTCCAGTCCTTTCATTGTCTCTCCATGTGGGGGAGTGCAGCAGAAGGGTTAACTTTGATTCTATAGATCTCACTTCCTGGGCATGGCTTTCGTATTAAACTCTGAAGCCCTTTCCCTCCTCCAGGCCCCTTCTCCCCATCCCTCCTCCAGCACAGGCCCACTCCTCCTGATGCTCTTCACCTTGGCCCAGGTTCTCAACGGTACTTAGGCACCTGCCTCCCCTGGGGAGTTGATGTGAGCTAGCACACAAATACCGCTAAGGATCTGGGTCCTTGTGACTGACACACTGCAGGTGTGATGGTCCTTCTGTGTCAGGGCAGGGGGCTGCCTCCACTGGGGGAGAAGCAGAGCAAGGCCAGCCAGCGTGACCATGCTAACAAAGCTCATCCAATTATTTAAACAGCTTTTTAGGCAAATTATGTACAAACCCTTGCTGCATTCCCCCATCATCTCTGGCAACTAACCCAAACCCAGGGCCCACATCAGGCTATACCAAGGGAGAAGGGATTCTCTGGGAGGAAGTCAGCCCCCTGCTTTCCTTCCTTCCCTGCTGTGTGAGAAGTTGTGAATGGTGCAGCTCTCAGTTCTCTGTGCTTAACGCCACTTCTTGGCTCCTCAGACTCCGCTGCTCCTCCCCGTGGAGCACCTCAGTTGGCATATGGCTGCGCCTTCTCTTTGTCTGGAAAAGGGGAACTCGAGATCTTCACGTGCAGTTCATGATGTAAACTGTTCACCCGCTACAGGAACATGCGACATGGCAGCTGCACACATGGGTGGGGGCTCCGACCCCACCCCCGACCCACAAACTGCTGAGCACAGCCGAGGGAGCAAAAGTCAGTACAAAGGTATAATCTTGTTGAGTGAAAAGGATTCTAGCCACACACACACACACACGCACGCGCGACCAGCTTAAGCTGAATAAACCCTGCATTTATTCAAACTCGTGTGGCAGCCAAGACACATTTTTTACTCTGGGTCACGTTTGGGGCCAACGCAGCAGTAAATGCCTCTGATTACTGTTCTGGCCACCACTGCATTTACCACCCCCTTTTGAAAGGAGTGTGTGTGGGGGGGGAACATCTGTCCTGCTTATTCCTCCCCCCGCCCTCCAGTTCCTGTTACAGCAACTAAGTTTCTTGTCACCTTTGTACAGTTAGACTTGCGAGGTGTTGGGCTGCAGTGTTGTTATAACTGTACTGGGCCAGGAGATTAGAGAGACGGTGTGGGAGGGAATATTTTTTATTGAACCAATTTCTGTTGGTGAGAGAGACGAGCTTTTGAGCTACACAGAGCTCTTGAACTCTCAAAAGTGTCTCTCTTTCACCGAGATTACCACT